GTAATTAAGTGCATATTGTTTGTTTCTTAACCTGACGTTAGCTGTTAAGTTATTGTCGAATCACTGAAATAATACTATAATTGAAGAAGAGTTCAATTAAAATTGACATATATTTTGAAGTCAATAAGTTATAATTAAGGTATTGATAATTTTTTCGAGTATTTTTAAAGGATTATTTTTGAGTTACTTAGTCATCGCGGAGTTATTGATTACTTTCGAATAACTATTTCAGACTTACTGAAAAAATATAGCTAATTATAATTATTATATATGAATGTATCACAAAATAATGAAGAATATATTCTGCTGTTTTTTAAGTTGCAATTTTGCAAATATCATAATAATAATAAATTTTTTTATTATTATAATATTCACACGATAGTTCTTAAGCTTGTTATCAATATCAAACTTTAATTTCTATCAAAGTTGACTTATTTTTAAAGATTTAAAAAATAATACAAAGCTTTCATTAATAAATAGTCATTCGAAAGCTTTTCTGACAAAGTCAAACTTGACAGATCAATAAGTTATGCTACATAACACATTTGTCTACCAATTTCGGTAGCGACTGATATCAAAATGCAAAAATAATTTCTATTGGTTGGACAAATATTTAGGCGAAATATGATCATTCTTGGCATTCAAAATTGAATTAAAAAGAAGTAGAGATGAAATGATCTGAAATCAAAATACAAAAAATTATGCAAATTTTATAAAACAAAGCATAAAATCAGAGCTATTTCCGTTTATTGCATTTAAAAATAAATTGATCAAATTTTGATAAAAAATATTTTTAATAGATTGTTATCAGTTACAAATTCAAGTGAGCTATTTTTAATTCAAATCTAGATTTTATAGATTTACTAAAGCTCTATAATGAATCATTTGATGAATCAGTTGGTTAATAGCAACTGATCTTGTACACAAAAATTTGGACTTAATTCATTTGACAAGTTCTGCACTTTCTTAAAGTATAATAAAATATAGAAGAAATTTGCATATTGTTTAGAACAGCTTTTAAGGATGAGAAAAAGGTGTGAAATCATTCTAAAAGAAATTGAATTGAGAGGGAATGAGAGAGAGAAGAGAGTCAGAGGAAGAGCATTTAAGTGAGATTGGGTATTACGGTGGTTTGACAAGTTCTCTCTTTTGGGATTTAGTAGTTTTCAAGTTTGAAAATCTTTTTTTAACCAAAAAACTTTTGTTTTTGTCAAAAATATATTATTTGGATAATTAATTAATTTCAAATTCATATTTGAGTTATTATTAATTATTAACTTTTGAAATTTAAAATTTGAGTTTTAAATATTCTAAAATTGAATTATGATATGAAATTATAAACTTGGACGAAGAATTAATCTGAGCATAAATAGAAAAAAACTGAAACTTGTATGTGTTTAGCTTTTGAAGATAATTTATTAAATCAATGTCAAAAATTGATTCATAACTTTTCGATCTATTTTCTAGATAAATTATTGATTTGTTCATAAATAATTGAAATTGATAAATCAATAAAAGAGATTTTTTTGGTGAGGAAATTAGTTAAGGCTTCTCAAGAGGACAAACAGGTCATGTGCATGAAGTAAAATAAAATGGTGAGAGTATACTTCGGCCAAAGAGCCTAAGTCCATGCCTAATGCCACGCCTTTGACTTTTTGATTTCTAAGTCAAAGCTTCTTGGATTTCATCCTGGAATGCAATCTTTAACTTTTCTTGGAAATTAACCAAAATATTTACCATAACTTTTAAAATTTTAAATTTTTTCTAATCAAAATTACTCATATATAATGTCTATTATTCAACCAACTGCTCCAGGCACTTGTCCAGCTGCAAATAATCAACGAAAAGGTTTGTTTGTCTCAACATATATAGAAAATTGTATTAATTTATGCTGTTATTTATTTATTAAATATATTAAAGAATAATAATAATAATAATAATAATAACAATTATAGTCATTTTGGTGCTATGAACTTAAAAAGGTATTTTGTTCGTTAATGACTTTGCTAGTAACAAATATTAATCCACACAGCATATTCATTTATTGTACTGAGGCGAAAAAATGGTAATGATAAAAACTTTAGTAGTACTACTTTGATAGCATAACATAAAAATGAATACCGTATCAAGGAAAACATTTTTACATTTATTTATTACTGTGCATTGTATTTCGTCTAATGATGTCATAGCGAGTTAACTTAAATGAAAATAATAATGATAACGAACACAACACTGATAGTGACGATAATCATAACAAGACAACAATGGTAACGAAAAATATTAAGTAGAAGATTGTTCAGTCGTCTGAAATCAATCCTCAAAAATGCTTTTTTGATCTACAACTTATTCTTTGTTGAGATTATACAAAATAGACGAACAACTGATATTAAATTAATAATTAAAATGATGATTATGAATAAATACACGTGTATTACAATTCTGTTAATACTGTCGACTCGAAAACGCATGATAAATTGAAAATCAAGAAGAGTTGGGATCTGTATGCTTTATTTTGAAGACTAGGGCGTACTATAACATATTTAAAATCTAAATGCTTTTTTTGAATTAAAAAAAAGTTTTGCATATTTTTTGGTGTTTCGTTTTTAGAATTTAAATTAATAAATATATTATATACAATATATATATACATATCTTTTTTTTTTAGGTAAATTTACTCGCATACTTGCAAATTAACATATAATCAATTAATTATGCAAATTTTTGCATCAGTAAAAATTTATTCAAAGACTCAAAATTGATTTTTACTTTTTGCCAAACAAATTGTTTTATTTTATTCTGCGCAATTTCTTAAGAATTTGAAATTTTGATACTCAAAACATGTTAAAAATTTTGGTAACAAAGTATTTGATGTGTTGAGGATATGGATATAATTTGAAATAAATAAATGTAATCTTCGTTACCTCAGCAACAAGCTGTTGAAGAAGGAAAATAAGATTAGCCTTAATTAGTTAAGGTTTCTTGTCTTGAGTTAATGCTCTAATCTCAGCTTTGCGCATTTCAGTCTCGAGAAACCTTTCAGGATTTAATCTTATCCTGAATCCTTTTTATTTCGACAGTAAACATTTCATTCAACTATTTTAATTCAAAATATTATATATTTGCAAGTTATACATTACTTGCCTATTTAATGACTAAAATTAAGTCAAAAAGTAAAGTAAAAAATAGAGTAATAACTTTGTGCAATATCTGCTTAGCAGATAATAGTGGTTTGTATAGCTTTTCACTCATTATCTATCTTTATAAGCTTTTTGTATCGTTTTATTTCGATTGAATCAAATTCTAGAATAAGCAACTTTTCACCTATTACCTTAAAAGCTTTTTGAATTATTATCTTAACATTTTTCAGAAAAGAAATAAGATTATTACTAATCATTATAACTATTCTCATTGGTATTATTTATTATTATTATTATTATTATCATTGTTATTGTTATTATTATCACTGTTTCTATCAATTGAATAAATTTGGAGTTACTTAAATACTTGTAACATTTCGAATGGAAAAAAACGTATCAAGAAACATAGAAGTAATAAATCTAAAAAAATTACTTTCCAATCAAGCAGTCGAAAATTCAATATCTATGATACTTATAATGATAAAGATATTTGCAAAATTATTTATTTTTACTAAATATTGTGCGTTGAAGTTTTGGTTCAAATTTGAATTTTAATTCAGAAAGCTAATCATTAAAGAACTTATTACTTCAA